GGGATGGACTCACCTGCACAGTGTTCTGCTGATGAGACTCTGACACCATTTAAGCTGCTGGCTGAGATCCATCCGATGCTGGAATATTCAGTCACCTCCGGTTCAAACCCCTGTGAAACCCTCTGAGGAGTTTTCTCTGGTTCCTCCCTCGTTGAAAGCTGTGAGCTTATCTGGGAACTGGATTTCTCTGTGAATCCTCCTCACATCTCCGCCCTGCCTCTCTCGTGCACTACCACCTACAAGAACAACCAAGACCTCACAAATCTCACCTACCTGGAACTCTTCTTCAACCTTCCCCTCCATGCCAGCCTCGACCTCAGGATCTCAAACCCTGGGCAAACACTGTAAATAAACTCACTTACCTTTTTTACCACTTGTGTCAGTTCCTGTCTTTTCACTGTCCGTCGAGTCTGATTTGGGTACTCAGTTAAAACGCAAACCTGATATTTTGTTGTTCCTCTGTGTGTTTTGTTAGGTTTATTATATCTGTTCCATCAGTCACTTCTCCTCAGTCAGTTTCAGCTCCCTTAGTCAGCCTTCTATGCTCATCTCCACCTACTCCCTGTTTTGCTTGTAACAGCTGCAGCCACTTCCCTCATCAGTCCCAGATTTTTGTACTGTCCACATCCTACCATGACAACCTAAATTTACCACCTGTGGGAATAATAAAAGCTTATCTTATCTTATCTTATCTTATCTTATCTTATCTTATCTTGTCTTATCTTATCTTATCTTATCTTATCTTATCTTATCTTATCTTAACTTATCTTATCTTATTGTGGCCACGTCAAACTGTTTGTTATCTTTACTGTTGAGTCAACTGCATGTGTCCACCAAACAGTATGGTCAGGAGATAAAGGCACTTTACAGCTCCAGCAACACAAATGAAAATTTATGCAAAATGACTGGCTGATGCAGATTACTGTGATCTCTGGATAGATGCTTTGTGGAACACTAAAAATAGACTGAAGAAATTGAACTGCATTACTAAATTATATTTATATATTGTTTAAAACACTTTTTAAAATACTATTTTTGGATACACTCAGAAATTTCTATAAGTTTGTTTTTTCCTACTTTCTTTACTCATAATTTTTGTCTGCTTTGTTTCCATGTTTCCATTTGCTTCCATTGCCGTCACAAAACAAGCTACACAAATATTCATTGCAGTTTATGGTATTTTCTCTTAGGGTTTCCATCAAAACATGCTAGATTATTTTGCATGATGCTTATTGATTTTAGAAGGTCATCCTCTGACCCTTGGCGGTGTGTATTTTTAGCCTGTGTCCCTCCTTCAACCCCTAAAACAGTTGTGATCAGCAGATTTAACTAACGGTCTGAGCCTGCCAGGTGGAAATGTCTTGGTGACTCTCAGTAACTCTCACGTCATTACAGAAATAGGGTTGTTGTTTTTTTTTTTTTTTGCAAGGATGAAAGCTTTGACAGTCATGAGGGAGGGGATGATGTCATGTGTCTGCCTACGGCTGGATGTTTTCTACACCAGTGAGAAAACAGAGCTCCTGAGAATACATCTGGAAGTTTAGCAGAGTGTAATTTGACACCGTTGGCCATGTTCAATCAATGAGAGGAAGGGAAACAAGCACAGAGATGTTGGGTTGGATGGTGAGATGGAGGGAAGGACAGAGATGAATGGAAAGCAGAAATTGTATAAAGATGGATAATGTTCTCGAGTGACAGAGGGATGGACGAATGAATTAACAACGGAATGGACAACAGGAAGTTAAAAATCAAGTCAGGTTGAGGTGGGTGATTGTAGACATGTACCTTTAAAATTGTTTGGGGGAATGTCATCTTTTATAGGTGCTGCTATATTGTCAGGTCCCTCTTGAAAAAGAAATTGTACCTCAACAACAAGTTTTTTTTAACTGTTTAAATATCTGTATAACTTTTATTAAAATATTCAAACAACTATTGACTTCTACACATGTTTCTGGTGATTTTTGTATGTATTCTTTGCAAGAACATAATCATACAATCAAAAATTTAGGTACAGACTATGTTAGTAAATGTAAGAATGCCAAAACAAAATACATGAGTCGTTTAATATTCTTTTCTGAAAGGCAGGTGATTCTGAATGTTTGTCAAATATTACTTCTTTTTCTTTTTTCTTTTTTAAACAACAAAACAACATGCCATGAGCACAATTTTTCTTATAATTTTGTTTCCTGGAGATCATACCAGTGTGTCAGTCTAATTTAGGGAACCACTACTCTACAGTAAAGTGTTTTATTTTAAGGAAATACGATAAATACAATGCTATAGAAAACATCTGGCAACAATCTTCCTGAATAAATCATTTTATGTTTCTTTAGCCACTCCTGATATTATCAGCTCTGCACTGGATTTTGCTCGGATATGCATTGACCTGTGCTGACAGAATGAGTCACTATGATGAATTTCTCAATACCGAGTTTTTATGATTTTTAAATGTCTATCTCAGAAAATTCAAAGTGATACACTGTTTGTTAAAAAATCTTAATTTAGCAAGCCAGTTTTGTTTTCAAGAGTGCCGGTTTGGTAACTTTGGCAGGAGTTGTGTTTTGAGGTTGAAGTTAAATCTAGATGTGGGTGACCCACAACTCAGAGCTGCTGAAAGCATATCGTGCAAAAAGCATAAAGCACCGCAGCTTCCTGTGTAGCGGTGAAGTGTTGCTGTTGAGCAGAAACAACATGTCTAACCACGCAGATCATGCTAACGTGCTGCTGTTTCTGATCATGCTGTCAGCTTGAGTTATTTGTCTTGTCCTCCTCTTCCTCCAGACATTTGCTCTAGAACTCCAAGGAATTTAGCCCTGCTTTGTTCTCCTACGTATGAAGATACAAACACACCTATTTTTGTGACCTTTTCACGTCCAGTGCACACCCACGCGCTGCAAATTTGCCAAGAGGAAGAAACTGAGCAGACAGCCACATGAGAAAATTAAGTCAAAGTGTGCAGAGCTGAAATGATCCCAATTCCAGCTCAAGATTTTTTTTGTCTGTTTCAGAGTCTTTAGACTGGAAAGTGTGAATGACGTTAAAGGACAAAACAAGATAAAACGTTAGTGTGAAGTCATCAGAGCTTTATGAGGAAGTCAGTGGTTAAGGATGATAAAGAAGCTTAGCAAAAAAACAAAAATGAAAAAAAGAATAATAATAATAAAAAAGGAATCTGGAAATGTTTTCTGTTTTATTAGTTTCATGACTCAAAGCTGCCCAGGGCCATGCCAGCAGCCTGTTCTCCTGGCAGAAACTGTCAGCTGTTAAACATCAGCAGATGGTGCAGAACAGTTCCAGGAACCCACCCCCAATCCTTTCACATCAAATTTCTTTACAAACACCTGCGTGTCAAAACTCTGCAATTAGGATGATTACGTTTCTGAGCTAATTCTGGGGATTGTTAATACTTTTACTGCATGTGTCAGTTTAGGCGCAGCCTCATTTCTGACCACAGCTAATTAAAGTTTAGTTTGTGTTGCACACAGGTGCTGATTTGAGTCAAGCTTTAAAGCTGTTTATTGCTGGTTAGACGTGTTACAGACAAGCAGGTGCCAGTTGGGCCTGTGTTTTTTACTTTAGCTGATTCCGGCTTTGAAACCTACAGGTGCTGAGTTGGGTCTTTTTCTTTTTGTATTTATTTTTGTTTACAACAGGTGTGATGTCAGCAGGTGCTGATTTCTGCTGCTTCCAGTCCCGACTGCAATCTGACCTTGGCTGCTTGCTGTAATGCTTTGCAGAAATGTTAAACTCAGTAATGTAGCTTGTAATGATTACAACTTAGAGGGCAGAAAGATTCTATCACGGGTTGCTGAAAAACTGCAAGGAGCGATTACAAACACGTGGAGTTGGATTAAAACCAGAAATCCAGGATTCGTGCATTATTTAAACACTTTTTTTAAGTTTCTACTGAAGAAGAAGGATGTGTATGTGTTTTAGCATGGCACACACCAGCAGAGCAGCAGCATCAGTCCTCTGTGTATGCGTGAAATGCTTTTAAGCTGATCACTCAGTATGCGTCCCTAATGTTCTGAGTCCACTAAAAGCCCAACAATGATTGTGCCATAAAACAAAAAGTAAAAAAAAAAAAAAAAAAAAAAAAAAAAAAAAGAACGGCCTCAAAGATAAATTGTGCTTTGGTTTCTGTTTGCAGCTTGACTAATGTGGTGGTTTGTCAGTTTGTGTAGGCTTATGAATTGGTCAGCACGTGTTTGTACATTTCTGCTTTTGACTGACATTTACGTACTTTAGCTCAGGGGCGGAGCCATAAAGGTGGCATGGCGGGGTGGGGGTGGGGGGTGCACTGGCCATCCTTGGAATCCTAAGAAAAGATTTCAAGCTAAAATATAACAGCATACATTTTTAGTGTACAGGGTTAAAATGAAACCAGGCCAATAAAAAACAAATAAAGTCTGATTTTTTTATTTTCCTAGTTTTATCTCAATTTTGTTTTGAAATACTTTTCTTAATGCCTAATCTTTGAGCTTTAATTTGAGTTATATTTCATTAAGTAATACCACGTTCTTTTGCATTTTATTTTTGACCACAATGTAATTTTGAGATAACTGATTTGAGATGCAGTATTTTAATTTAATGCCTTGATTTATTGGACTGTTAGAAATAAATTCCTCTCTTTCCTGCTGTGCTCAGCCCATGTGATCGATTCCAACATGAATCTTTCAGACTGGGACAGACAACCTAACATGCCAATACCACAGTGACTCATGACCATTTCAGTCTCAAAGAGGAAATTATTGGATTTTCATGGTAGATGTGATCAGAAATGGCCAGTTACAGTTCATAACTTACTGGTTTTATTTGAGCTGGGTGGAGTCAGACGACATCAAGGACAGTAAAATGAGACTGGCAGTCTCCCAATGGACAGGGGACGTTTGGAATAATTCAAATCTCAGGACAGTTTGACTGAATTGTACTTGAGCTTCGACTCATAAATGAAAAAAGCTCAACTGGCCCAAGGCCATCTTTAATGAGCTAAATTAGAAATGTATCTTTCCTGGTGTGTCCGTGTGAGTATGTGTGTGTCGGTGTGTGTGCCTTTAGAGTTAAGGGGTTGTCTGTAATGAAACGGGAAATGGAGATTTGGTGGGAGAGGAAGAGGGGTCACAGAGGAGAAAGGATGGAGGCTGAAACAGAGGAGATAAAATATCTTGGCTGGGATTCCTTTTTCAGACTCTGCACATCTAGTTCTGCCTGAGTTTGCAGAAACTTTAGTTTTGCAGTTGAAACCAGCTGTTTACACACACTGTTTATAAAGACACAATGCATTTTTTCACACTGATGTAAAATCAGAATAAAATTTTCCTGTTAGATCAATTAGGATTACTATTTTTTTGTTTTTTGCTAAATGCCAGAATAATGAGAGAGAGATCATTTTTAAGACATTTTTTTATTTCTTTCTTCAAAGTCAAAAGTTTAAATACACTTCATTAGTATTTGGTACCATTGCCCTAAAACTGTATAACTTGTGTCAAACGTTTTGGATCTCCTTCCACAAGCTTCTCACAATAGTTGGCAGGAATTATTCTTCCTGACAGAACTGGTGTAACTGTGTCTTGTTTGTTGGCCACCTTGCTCACACGTATTTTCAGCTTTGCTCATAAAGTTTTGATAAGATTGAGGTCAGGGCTTTGTGATGGCCACTCCAAAACATTGACTTTGTTATCCCTGAGCCACTTTGTAACCAGTTTGACAGTATGCTTTGGGTCATTGTTCATTTGGAAGACCTCTTTGCGCCCAAGCTGGCTGATGTCTTGAGATGTCGCTTCAGTATTTCCACATAATGGGCCTCATGAAAGAACATGTTTGTATTCTTATACAAAATTTAACCTACTTTTGTTCATATGAAGGGTTCGTACGAACATACCATGTCAGATTCAACAAACTTTTATATCTTTGGGGAAAGTGTGTAAATGAGCTGCGTAAACATGATGAATGCGTATCAGGTGCTCGTGCACAGGGAGAGGTGATTAGCATAATTACCACCCCAAAAACACCATATAAGGCTACGTTTCCTGCCCCACATACCAGGAAGTGTCCATTCATAAATGACATCGCAAAGTAAAAAAGAACTAATCTGTTCATACGAATAGTTCTTGCATGAGGCCCAATGTTCTTTCCTCATGATGCCATCTATTTTGTGAAGTGCCTCCTGCAGCAAAACAACCCCACAACATAATGCTGCCTGCCATCCCTGTGTTTCACAGTCAGGATGGTGTTCTCAGGTTTGCGAGCTTCCCCCTTTTTAAACGTAATGATGATCATTATGGCCAAACAGTTCAATTTTAGTTTGGTCAAACCACAGGACGTGTCTCCAAACATTAAGATTTTTGTTCCTGTGTGCATTTGCAAACATTAATCTGTTTTTTTATGTTACTGGATAATGATACACTCTACCAGCTTCAGCCAGCATCTTCGCCAGGTCTTTTGTTTTTGTTCTTGAGTTGATGCACATTTCAGAGCAAAGCATGTTCATCTCTTGGACACAAAACCCATCTCCTTTGTGACCGGTATGATGGCTGGGCATTCCCATCTTGTTTGTACCTTTATATAATTGTTTGTACAGATAAAAGAAGCACCAGACTTGTGCAGGTCCACAATTCTCTTCCTGATATGTTGGCTGATTTCTTTCGACTTTCCCATGATGTTACACAAGGAAGCAATGTGTTTCATGTGTGCCTTAAATTACATTCACAGGCGTGTCTAAATAATTTATCAATAAATCTATCAAAAGCTTCCATAAACATGATATCAAATGTTCCAAATTGTTTAAAAGTGTAACCTTTATGAATTTAAAATTTTGACTTTGAAGAAAGTAATAAAATTTAGTTTAAAAAATGATCTCTCTTATTAATTTGGCATTTAGCAAATAGAAAAAAAATTAGGCAATCCTAACTGACCTAAAATGGGAAAAGTTTATTCTGATTTCACATCAGTGTGGAAAAAAAGTGCCTTTTTATATAGTGTATGTAAACTTGGTTTCATAAACTGTGAAGAATCAAGATCCGCACAGGACTAGCAACAGCTTGTTAACTCTTCTACAGTGTTTATATGATGCAATGAGAAGAGTAATTGTATATGAATTACTGATTTCCATTCATTTCTGTTGGCATGACTTTCCATATCTAACAAGCTGTTAGCACCTAATGATTGTGGCAGCTGTTTTGAAACACAAATTATTATGCTACCAGATAAAATCTAGTGATTAAATCTTATAGATTACCAAGGATACTACAAATTACCCCAAAACAGTATGTGTCCACTTTATTACAATCTATAAAATAACAGTTTCTGCCTGGGTTTGTGTGCAAGGTGAGAACAAAAAGGTGAACTTTAACATTTGTTCTGTGGTGATGTTGAAGCATAGTTAACCATTAATGTCTCAGTTGATACATTTTAATTTGTTTTAAAACTGAGTAATTTTACATCACATTTATATTTTATTAAACTGAGTAAGTGAGGTTTTGTGTAGAGGTTGTGAGTAGTCAGTATCTAACCTGCAGCACATAGCCGTCGGAGTGACCTCAGTATGGGGATCTATAGTTTAGTTTGACTGGGGTCAAGAACACAGTGAGTTACTGTTATCTGTGGTTCAAATGAACACTTTTTAAAAATCTTGTGCACCACCATCAGTTTTACGCAGCAGATTCATTTACTGTACAAAGAAGTTCATTATTTTCACTGAAGATTTTTGGTCTACAACACATTTTGCAGATCAGAAAATGTTACACATACTCATCAAAAAGTAATCTGGTTTAATGTTTAGGTAATGTAAAGATTAATAAAATGGGTAAAACTAATAATATTTATTGCTGTTATGTTTCATTACCTTTGCGTCAGTTAATTTGTCTGCTTCAACACACCTGATTCAGTGACTGAATTGCCTCTTCATTTTATACAGAAGTCTGTTAATCCTTTATTTATTAATTTCAGGTGTGTTGGAGCAGAGAAACATCTAAACCATGCAGGATAGAGACCTTCAACGAACATAATTGGACAACCCTGTTTTAAATATTCACATATTTCTGTTCAAATAATAATTTAATGCAAAAGTGACAGCAGTGTGAAGGTTTCCAAAATAGAGTTTGAATTAATAAATGGATCATTTATTTTATCCCAAAGGAAAATAAAAGTATTTGTGTCAACCATGATAAAACGTTTGAAATCTGATTTTTTTTAATTTCCTTGAATGTCTAATCATTATTTCTTCAAATGGAGGTCTTTCACAGAGCTATCTAGCTTCTCCAATGGGACCTTATTTATGCAATCCTTTGAAATAAAGGAAAAAGTTAAACCAGAAACCAAGACTTTTACAACTTGTGGTCCAAAAAGCTACCTCCTTTTGTTTTTGTGCTTTGTTTTTTTTTCTTAACAGTCAAGTCTTTTACCTTTGGTTGGGCTACAAAATCAGAGTGGCAGTTGTGAGATTTTAAAACATTATGGGACAATAATAAAAAATACACTTAAAACTGACTTGAAAAACGTTACAATGTTAAATTCAGCAGCAGAAGTTGTTTTTTTATGTATTTTTTTTTTTGTTTGCTTCTTTGAAAAATCCCTAAAGTTCTATGAAACTTTTCTGTCTGGGATAAAGAAGTTAAACAACTGATAAAACAGCCGCCATCATCTTTCAAGCTCCAAGCTGCTGAAATGTTTCAGTCTAGACATTACATGGTAGCTTTTTATAATGTTTGGGTCAAACGCATTAGCTATAAAGCCTCTCCACCAGAGTACAAATAGCTGCTTGTCCTCGTGTCTCCGTGTATGTGGTCTGTGTTTGAACGTCTTGTTTGTAATCCCACTGTTCTCCCACTTCTGTCTGCTTCGTCACAAGTCGCTGCATTTAATCAATTATCTTGGAGGAATTCACTGGCACAGGACAAAATAAAGGGTGCCATTGTCGCGCGGGCACAAAGAGTCATGCAGGGATTTATATCGAGCCTCTGTGATAAATTCAGACCGAGCCAGGCCACGCAGAGTGCAAGAGAAGAAGACATTGTCCCATATGTCCATCTGAACTCTGACCAGTGAGCCTAACAGTGATGCTCCAAATTCCTCCCGCAGCCTCCAGAAAGTTTTAATGTGTTTCAGTGGGTTCTATTCAGACATTTCTTAAAGCGTTAACCTCATGTTTTGTTTCCTCTCTAGGCTGCCAGATTTTATTAGATTCAAGTGAAGCTCTAATTACATAAGTCTCTACTAATATATGTTGCTCTAAGATATTATTTTCTTCATCTTGTTTATTTTTTCACCCCAGCAGACTAGAATAACTAATAATGTCGTTTAATTTCGAACGGTCTCAGTATGTGTGACCCTGTCTCCTCCTCTGTCCTCGCAGTGCTGCTGACTTGTGTGTTGTCCTTCAACGTGGACCAGAAGAACAGCTTGTCCTTTGAGGGTCCACTAGATGACATGTTTGGCTACACAGTCCAGCAGTTTGAGAACAGCGAGGGAAAATGGTGAGGTTCTTTGTTTGTTTGTTTGTTTGTTTGTTTTTGTTGAGTTTTTGAGAATAAGAAAGGTTCTTTTGAAAGACCATCACCTGTAGTGCAAAGACTCTATTCATCAAACACATTCCAGCCCTGCGTCTAAAAGGAAAACGGTGACCATAAAAGGCTTCACAGAATGAGTAAAGCCATCATTTTAATCAGTCAGGTAAAATCTGAGCAAAGACAACAAAAGGGGGGTAGGCAGAGGGAGGAATCTGGAGGTAGAAATCCTCTTCAGCTGAAAGCCTTTATTATCAAAGAGCAGAAGAAGTTACTTGCTTGTCTTTCATGGCTGAGACTTAAACTAAACTCTGTTGAGAAAGGACTGAGTTTTAATTTCTAAAAATGTATTTATGTTTTGTCTAACTTTCTAAAATGGCATGCACAATCTCATGCAGTCTAATATATATATATATATTAGAGGTGCAACGATACAGAAAATTCACCATTCGGTTCGGTTCGATACTTTAGTCTTATGGTGCGTTCACACCAAACGCGATTTCAGCGTCAGGAGCAGCAGGTTTACATGCAAAGTCTATGGTGGACGCGCTTCAATCAGCGTCGGGAAGTTCTGCGGCGCCTCAAGCGCGATTAGAGCAGCGC